TATGTCCTTTTTTAACATATTAGTTATGCCAAAAACCCTTTTTTTAGTGGTTCCCTAAAGTTTGCAATAAACTTTCACAACTAATCTAAGTCCACTTTCAAATAACTCTATACCTCACATGTAGTGCAAATACCTTGTAATAACAAAATAAACCTAATTCCTCTATCATTGTTATCATTTATTACACTATATAAACATATACATAAGCACATATACACACAAGATATACAACTAAACATACATAATTTGTTCCTTTTATTTTGAATAAATGGTTATTTGTTAGATAAGAATGGGAAAAAGAAAAGTTTGTATACCTCCACTTGTTCCTTTTCTGATACTCTTTTCATGTTTCTAACCTATGTCATTTTCCTTCTCTCTATAAAACTTCTTGTAACATTTCTTGCAATCCAAGTTTATTGACTTTGGATTTCTTCAATTATTTGTTAGAGAAAATTTTTCTTTAATTTTGAAGGATAATTTCTCAGAGTACAGAAAGGTTGGTGTTTTTTTCTCCTCAATACTTTAAATATTTTCTTCCACTCTCTCTTTCTTGGGTAGTTTTGAGGAAAATTTGGATGTAATTCTTATCTTTGCTCTTATCTTTGCACTTCTAGTAAAGTGTTTTTTCTCTCTGGCTTTCAGTAATTTTTTTTTTTATCTTTGATTTTCATAGTCTGAAAATGATATGCCTAATTGTAGTTTTCTGATATTTATTCTGTTTGGTGTTCTCTGAGTCTCCTGGATCTGTACTTTGGTTTCTGACATTAATTGGGAGAAATTCTCAGTCATTATTGTTTCAAATATTTTCTCTTTTCCTTTCTTTCTTCTCTTTTCTGATATTTCCAATTGCATGCTTTTTCTAGTTGTCCCCAATCATTGGCTATTTTTTTTTCTTTTTTCCAGTTTACCCATATTTCTCTTTGCTTTTCAGTTTTGGAGGTTTCTATTGGGATATCTGCAAGCTTAGCAATTTTTTTCCTCAGCCATATGCATCTATTAACACTACTAGGTCCATTGAAGGTATTCTTCATTGTTGTAGTAGTGGGTTTTTTGTTTAATTTAGTTTTGTCTCTAACATTCCTGTTATTTTTTGGGATTTCCATCTCTGCCTATATTTCCCATCTGTTCATGAACATAGTCTACTTTATCTATTAGAGCCCTTAGCATAGTAATCATAGTTGTTTTGAATTCTGTGTCTGATAATTCTAATATCTTAACCATATCTGAGTCTGGTTCTGATGCATGTTGTTTTTCTTCATATAGCGTTTTTTGTGGGGATGTGTGTGTCTTTTAGTACATCTTATAATTTTTTCTTGATAACATGACATGCATGATGTGCTGGATAAAAGGAACTGCTTTAAATAGACCTTTAGAGAGGGGAAGTGTTCCATCATTCTCTGAGTAATTTTCAGCTTGTTACTGAGGTTGTACCTCTGGACTGTGAACTTCACACTCTGGCCCCCTACTTCATTTAGGTGAGACAAGATGGCTAGAGGGGTTGGAGTTGGGTATATATCTTCTCCCATGTGGAAATCTAAAGGGAGCTAGAGTTGGATATTTCTCTCCCCTTATGTCAGTTAGGCTCTGAAAAAAGCAAAAACTCCAGCAGCTAGGCAGAGACTGGGAGGCTACTTGGGAGGCTAAGGAGGGAAGTCTGCTTGAACCTAAGAGTTTGAGGTAGCAGGGGCAACATGAGTGAACCCTATCTCTAAAAAGAGAAAAAGAAAAAGCCTCAGCAGGTTAGGCTCTAGTTACATAGTTTCTCCTGAGGGCAGATCTTGTTGAAATGAAGGGAGTGCTCTGGCACATTTTAAAATGGTTCCTTTTCTCCTTCCCCTGCCAGAAACATGAGGAGATTTTTGTCTGATATACACTGTGAGAACTTGGTAGAGCTCCAGGAGGTTAATACTCACAGAAGTGTGGGAGCTTCCTGTTGTCTGGGTCTTTCTGGTGTTTTCAACCTTTAGACTTGTCCATATTCAGCCTCCAGCAATTTGTTAGTTGTAGCTCAGGTTTCCCTGCCCCAGTGCTGGTTCCCATGGATACTTCTGCTCTGGTGAGTCATGGTTCTCTGTATTCTCCTCTCTGTATCTCCAGTTTTGATGGCAGTGGTTTGCCCTGTATCCTCATTTCTGTAACAAATTTAAGAAGGTTGCAGAAAAACAAGGCCCAATGGACGGAAAGATTCACCCAAACACCTGTGTTTGAAAGAGGAAGGGCTTTATTCAGGCCAGCAGACCTGTGACAGACAGACTGGAGTCGAAAATGGCCAACCTCCCCGATCAGCTCTGTTCCTGTTCTTTTGCACAAGAAGGCAGACAAAGGAATTATTATATTGTCCCTCATTGGAGGGTTCAAAGCATGTGCGGGGTTTACAGTAGCAAAAGCAGGGGTTAGTTTCAAGGTTCTAAGAAGCTAAGTTTTTACAAATTCTGAGAAGCTGAGTTACCATGGGGAGGACTTTGCAGGAGTGTCCTTGAGTTTCTGCAAGAAGCCTTTTGTCTTTCTAGATCAGAACATTCTCTTCCTGGGTATACTCTTAAAAAGAGTTGTTCATTTTTTTCAGTTTGTTCAGCTTTTTACTTGTTGTTAGAATGGAGCAGGCACTTCTAAGCTTCTTACCTACTGGATCAAATCTGGTTAGTTTCTTAGCCATTGAGCAGTGGCTCTCTCCCATTGTCCTGCTCCTAACAGTTGAGGATTTAGTGAGTGCCTCAAAGGTGAAATCCTTGTGGAATGTCAAATTCATTTTTTTTATTGTTATCTTTTCTCTAGAAAATTTGTCCCCTGAGTCCTGGCTGCCTTCCTAATCCTGAATTACAGTGTTTGTATTCCAAACCCAGTAAAACTACCATAAGCTCTACCGAGGCCAATGCCAAATGCCCTGATAGGAAAATACAATAAGAACTGTTTGGCTCACCTCAGTGAGTGCATTTCCCTTCTTTATGGGGTCTGTCCCCTCAGGTGTGGATGGCCTAAGTTTCCCTAAATGCTCTCTGATATCTTCAAGAACAAATTTTATACAGGTTTTACATTGTTCACATTTTACAGTGTTTTATATACAACTGTATAAGATGGGAGACATAATATTAGTTGATCATAGTTGGAACTTGAGGTCTTAATCTTGAATTTTTAATTTTGATAATTACATTCCTACCCACCCTCACTTGACAAAGTTCTATTTGTTTGTTTCTCAAGTCAGCTTTATCTTTCTTGGTGTTTCTATCTCATGTTTACTGTTACTTTTTAAAAATGATCTTAATCATTTTAAACATACTTATTTTTCAGTTTGTATCTTATTTGATTATCTGAAATTCTCAGGGGTCTAATTTCAATTGAATGTTATCTTCTGATGCTTAGTTTATATTCACTTCTGCCAGATATCTCAAGAGGGTATTAGCAACTGAGAACCAGCTTTTATGTTAATTCTTGGCTTGAGATTTCTAAGGCCATAAAGCTATTGCATATTGTGAGTAGAGAGATGGTTATAAAATATGAAGAGAGACTTTTTTACCCACTCATAGTTCAAATGTATGCAGATAAGCTCTCTTGTCATTTTGTTTACTTTTGAGTGAAGGTTTTTTAGGTTACCCTTTCACTTAAAATATGGACCACCTGTAGGATTCTAATTTTATATGTAAAATAAGCTCCCGCTCTACATGCTACTGTGGCTCAAGACCTTGGCTCTTGTTTCTGTGTGTCCATCAAGGCAAACTAGGAAATCAGTGCCTACTGCTACTCTGATTTTCAGTTTCTTTTTGTATAATTCTTGGGGAATTTATCTCATTTTCTTGAGAGCTCAGCTGTGCTTATGTAAAGATGTTTGTTTACTTTGTTCAGCATTTTAGGTTTTTGTTTTTTAGGCAAAGATTTTGAAGTTTGTAGCTCTCATTATACGAATAAAAGTCTTAACTGATATTATTTACATTGCTGGCTTATAATAGGACAGAATAAGCTGTTATTAAATATTGTTATCAACATTATTATTTTTACAAATGTATAAAACCCGAACATTTGGGTACCTAGTAATAACAGATTCTAAAGCAGTGGTTCTGGGTGGTGCCTGTGGCTCAAGGAGTAAGGGCACCGGCCTCATACACCAGAGGTGGTGGGTTCAAACCCACCTTGGCAAAAAAAAAGGAAAAAAAATAAAGCAGTGGTTCTCAACCTTCCTAATGCCGCAACCCTTTAATACAGTTCCTCATGTTGTGGTGACCCCCAACCATAAAATTATTTTCATTGCTACTTTAGCTATTCTAAAGCATTATAATTACTGATTTATCATCTTAGGATGTGGTTACTGGATATACACACGTGGTACTATGTAGATTGCTGGTTCTCAGCTGCTAATACCCTCTTGAAACCTTCCTCTCCTCCTCCTCACCTTCCCAACCTCCTTCTCCTTTCCTCTTAAGACAAGAAACACAAAGGACCTAGTTAGCCCCACTCCTCCCCAACCCCCTACCCCCCAGGAAATTAGAGCCAAAGGACTCTAACTCACCAAAGCCCTCTGGGCAAGCTGTGGAATTTGCCCACCTCCTGTGGGCAAATGAAAGGGTTCTCTAACTGTCCCCCTCTCCCTACCCTCCCCCCCCCAAGTCTCACAGATGCCTCCTTTGCCCTGCCCAGGTGGGTTGTCTCAGGCCTTCAGTAAATCTGGCCTGAACATCTCTGCTACAGTTTCGCCTCTGGTTGCCACCATTTACACCTTTCATAGATCATGCTACAATAAAATCTGGCTATTAAAATAGTTAAAAGCATATCACTTTTCCCCTAACTGCTTGTTTCTCTTCCTTTAAAACCTTTATTTTAAAACTTCTATTTCCTCAGGGAAACTAGAAAATGTTGTGGCTTTGCAGCTATTAAACATTGACAGACACATCTGAGAGTATATATTTATGTGTGAATTGTTTCATCTGCAACCATATATATTATTTATATTTGGCTTTAAAAATGATATACTTTGCATGAACTTGTATATTCTTTTTTGCTTTTTGTAGGAGGATACTTCATCGGGACTTGAAATCAAAGAATATATTTTTGAAAAACAATTTACTTAAAATTGGTAAGATATTTAAAAGTATATATTCCAGAAACACAGGAAAGTATATTCTAGATTTTATTATATCAAATTGAAATATATGGAAGTGTTGAGGAATCATTGATTATTTAAACTTCTCAAATTTTTGTCCTACCTAGATGGGCCCAAAAAATCCTTATTATTTCTGATTATCTGCTGTAAATCAAGGTATAAAATATTTACTATACACTTGTTATATTTAACAAATACAGAGGATGGTAAAAAATTATACACATTTTAAGAAAGAAAAAACTGTGTAAAAATTGTAATTCTCAATATACAACAATAACATTTGTTATCTTATACATTGTATCTTGGATTTCTTATAATTGCAGAAGCCAAGAATTGAGTATTACAATTTTAATACCTTTTTTTGTTTGTTTCTTAAAATGTGTATACATTTTTTTGGCACTTCTGTATGCCAGGAACTTTGCAAGTAGTTAACTTGTTTTATTGATTTGATTAGTTATTGTAGGTTTACACTTATTTTACCACATACTGTAAGCAGCTATCATAGATAACCTAAATGTTGATATAATGGCTCTCTAACCTTTAGTCCTTCAGAACTAAACCTTGACTCATAATAATTACTTACTGGGTTGTCAATTCATCTTGTAGGATATTCACAGGGAAGGAAGGAACAAAGCATTTCTACTAATTTAGGAAACAAGAAAAAAGCTAATGAATTCAAATGTTAATACTTACATTTTTGAATAGTCTCAGCTTTTTATAATGTATCCTTTATTATAAATTAAAAACAAACTCTTTCCCCCTCAGATAAAATTACATATCATCATATTCAGGTTCTCCAGAATCATTTTGTTTGCTTTATTCAGATTTGATATCATTTTTTTATATCAAGTTATCTAGTTTTCCACAATTTCAAAAATAAAGAATTTTAGGTTACATAATTCACTTTCCTGGCTCAAAGTTGTCTTCTTCCTATAAAGTTTATGTTTTAAAAGCTACTTGCCAACATTGTATGATTTGAGGTATATTACTTTCCTATTTCTTGAAAATGGTGTGAACAAACTGCATAATACAATAATGAAATTAGATACTCATTCAATTGTTAACTTGCAGGGTTGACTTTTAGTGTTATAAAATATTTATAAAAATTTATTATTTCAAGGTGATTTTGGAGTTTCTCGACTGCTAATGGGATCCTGTGACCTGGCCACAACTTTAACTGGAACTCCCCATTACATGAGTCCTGAGGCTCTCAAACACCAAGGATATGATACAAAGTCAGACATCTGGTGAGTAGGCAATGGGCTAGTCCAGATGAATTTTTTATCTGTTGCCCTGAGGGAGTGATAACATTTTGTTTATAAGCTCATTTACTTACTATATCCATTCAACTTATCTCTTTAACACGAATCATTTTCTGACAGGAGCAAAAGAAAGTCTTTTGCATTTGGAACTGGATATATTTCATTATACTGGTTTCAAAAATTCTCTTTATTCATTGATTAATTGGTTGGTTTGGAGTTTTCTGAACTACAAGGGAAAGTTCTTAGTGTACCATAAGCATTAAATTTTGATACAGTTCTGCTAACCAATTAAAGTATTTATAACCCTAAATGCAGTGTTTTATTTTAAGGTTAATGTAAAATAAATGTACTTTTAAGAATTTTACTAAAGATACTTGTTTTGAGGATAAACTAAAAATTTCTGGGTTTTCAGTGATAGATGCATCTGAGATTTCTTAGTTTCTCTGAGCTCTTGTATCAAGGGAATTTCTCCTTCCTTGTTGTGGAACTAGTTTAAATCTCATTGAAGAAGTCATGTGGAAAATTGTGTTTAGTATGTTGTATTGTAAGCAATAGATCTTATTTGAGGAATATTTTTTCCTTTGACGAGGAATCTTATATAATTTTCAGCTTGTTAAAGGTTGAAAGAACAATCTAGCTGAGAGCTTGTTAATTAAGTAAATAATTATTATATGCAAATCAACCTAAGTAGATCTGAGCTTTCACAGATAAGCAATGTAAAAGATGTCCCACTTCATTCTTCTAAAGAAGGCAAAGTAGAAAATTACCCTTCCTCTGGTTAGGAAAAAGTAAACAACAGGGGGGACATGGCTTGGGATTTTCATAATGGTCATTATTTCCGTTCTTGTCCTCATGCCTTCCAAGTAGGAGAACACACTGTCAAGGTTAAATCTGTCTATGGCTGTTCCCTGTAAATCCTGTCACTTCAATTCAGTCTTGTCATTATTCATTTATAGATTCTTCACTGGGTTTTTTCATTGTTAGTTTATTTTGCTTTGGAGATCTTTTCAATTCACCTATAATCTTCCTTCATCCTTTGTCCAAACCCCTTTAACCCTTCTACCCACCCATCCATAAAAAAAAAAGAGAGAAAGAAAACCCAAACGAAACAAAAAACCATACATCATAAAAATATGTTCAGAGGAATGAATTCCTTTAAATTTTTCTTTATTGAGCATCTACTGTTTGCCCAAGACTAGGCACATTCCCTTAGAGCATAAAAGCAAAAGCGATAAGATTCCTACCCCTCAGGAGAAATCTTGCTTCTTTTAGAGATCCTTTCTCCATTTTGCAAAAATCAATGTTGAGCTTCAGATTAACTGAATTTCAATTACATACTTGCATCTCTCTTCACACTTAATTTTTAAAATTATTATTGTAGACATTTAAAAATAGATTCAAATATATAATGTCTTCATAATTTAAGATTACATGGTATCTGAGAAAGATGTTACAAAATGTCATTTGACTTACGAGTAAGTTAATTTATGAAGCCCTTCATTTAAATTTTTAGAATTACAGTGGAACCTTGGTAAGTTGACCAGCCAAGGGACTGTAACAAACTGGTCAACATACAGAGGTGGTCGACAAAAAGAACTAGGCCTAGCATTCAGATATATACAGGTGCATGACTAGTATATGAAAATTAGGTCAATTTAAGAAGGTGGTCAATGTTGGGAGGTGGTCAACTATGGAGGTTCTACCATATATGTGACAATAAAGCTGGCTCTTCTTGACAGCCATCTGTATCTGTTTGCCAAATCAAATGGATATTTCCTAGAAAACTGAGGCAACAGAACCCACAGAGAGAAGAGCAAAGCATAGAGTACTGGTTGGAGTATGCCATTGTTATTTCTTTTTAAAAAATTGCTCTTAACATGTATACAGAATTATAAGTATATCAAACATTATTGATATCATGTTTTAGGGCTACAAAAGTATCTGACTTAGGAAAAACTTAAAACAGCCCAAACACCCCAAGTATACAAAAGCAGGCAGATTTAAATGTATTTTTCTGAGCATTAGGTCAGCGCTCCTTGCAGAGATTATTAACTTTTAGCAAGTACAAACTGAGGATTCATCATCATACTGACACCAAATAACTACCTTATTATGAATTTAGTAATTACTTCACTTGTATCTGAATAAAACAGGCTTATCTGGTAATGAAATTTCTATTGCCAAATCTAAAGTGGAAGGAATAACAGAGAAACTATTAATTATAGTGACAGATACATAAGTGTGATGAGTAATCTTTGGGAAACACTCTTAGAAAAATTAGATTGAATGAGGTTGAGAACTTGTCTCTGAACCTCAGTGTGTAGCATCTTTGTATTGTGGAATATGTTTTGTAGAATTGGAAACACTTATGAATAATTGGCAGGTGTTTTGTTTCAGCACTAATAGCTGTACCTATTATATTTATAATGCTTAACGAGGAAGTAGGCTAACACTAATTACATTTTCATCTGGCAATATTTGTCCATATTTAAAATTATCTTTCTTCTGCAATCTGTTATTTCTGGGTTCATTTATTTATAGCATTCAAATACAGGAAGCCCATCTCTTAAAAATGGTTTAGATTTCAAAAGTTTATGAACAGTTATTTGGAAAGTTAGGATACTGAGGTTCACTGAGGCCAATGCTCTGAATCAACTGATTTTTATAAGCAATTATTGAATACCTTTTTCTTCACAGAAGAGTTGGTTTCCCAGGCCAGCTTTTTAATTTAGACTATGAATTGTATAGCCCATTTCTCTCACCTGCCCGTGGCCTGGGAAGTTCTTGTGTGAGCTCAGAAACAAGTTGGACGGGGAAGGCTTTCCTAGGGAATAAGCCCTAGTTTCAGTATTTTCACCCAACAAAAACTGAGATAAGAAAATATATCAGTCAGATGCAATAGATATGAGCATTAATATTATTTTTTTCAATGACCAGCTATAAATGATTGACACAAACTACAATAATACCAGTTTGACCTGATGAATTTTAAAAGGCTTTATGACATAGCTAATAAATTCTTATTAAATTGATACTGATGATGAAAATAAACTCAACAGCAGCAACACAACCAGGAAGAACTACCTTCTAGAGAGTGCATACTCTCTGATTAATTGACAGTAACTCTGCTAAATGCTTTGTATACCTAAGTGTATTTATTGTTTCAAATATAATTATACTAGATACAATTTTATAACCTGATTTTTTTCCACTTACCGAAATGGAACATTGCTCTGCATTAGTATACCATTTAAATGTTTGCATAGCATCTATACTTATACACAACAATTTATTCAACCAAAGTCTTACTCTTTTCTTTGAAAATCATCTCTTTGTCTTTCCACATTTTACTGAGGAATCTAGGTGTGATTTTGCATTTATCCTACTAGGTAGGTAATTGAGCTTCTTCAATGTGTAAATGGGTATTTTATCAAATTTGGGGAGTTTTCAGCCATTATTTTTTTAATACTTTTTTCTTTCTATTTTTATATCTAGTACTCTCATTATATGTATATATGTTGTGCTTAATGGTGTTCTACATTTCTTTGAAGCTCTGTTCATTTTTTGATGCTTTATTCATTTTTTTAAAATTTTCTTTCTGTTCTTTATATTACATAATCTCTATCCATTGCCCTTCAGGTTCATGGATTCCTTCTGTCAGTTAAAATCTACTGTTGATCCCTTCTAATGAATTTTTTGTTTATGGTACTTTTCATTTCCAAAGTTTCTATTTGGCATTTTTTAAAATGTAATTTCTCTTTCTACTTGATGTGACATTTTTCTAATACGTCTTTAAACATTTTTTAAATTGTTAAAGCATATTTATAATGACTGTTTTGAAGTTTTTGTTAAATCTATTATTTCAGGCCCTCTAAATCAGTATCTGTTGCCTACTTTTTTCCTATGTATGTGTCACACCTCCTGTTTATTTGCATGTCTCATAATTGTTGATAACTGGACATGTTAGATAATATATTATATTGTAGCAAATCTGGACATTATTCTACCCCACTTCCCTGAGGCTTGTTGTTTGCTTGTTTACTCTTTTAGTGACTTCTATGGGATATTTTAATAAAAATCTATTCTTCTTCAGTATGAAGTCTCTAATGTTGCTCCTCAGACAGCAGCTGTGGTCATATCCACCCTGGGATGATAGTGATTTTAGCAGGACTCCTTTGTCTTTTTTCCTGTTCTCTCTGCTGTCTACTTTTATTGGCATCACACCCAGCTGTTAGCGTCCACTAATTGTTAACTGATTGTTTGTAACAATACCCCACAAAGGCATAATTGTTCTCTAGTCTTTTCTAGTTAAATTTGAGTCCCTTCTGCCAGTATATATATATATAAATATTTGAGTCCCGTCTGCAAGGACTCGTGTATATATATGTGTGTGTGTGGTTTTTTTTGTTTTTTGTTTGTTTATTTGTTTGTTTGTTTTGAGACAGAGTTTCATTACATTGCCCTCGGTAGAGTGCTGTAGTGTCACAGCTCACAGCAACCTCAAACTAACTTTTGGGCTTAAGCAATTCTCTTGCCTCAGCTGGGACTACAGGCACCCACCACAACACCTGACCATTTTGGGGTTGTAGTTGTCATTGTTGTTTAGCAGGCCCGGTCTGGGTTTGAACCTGCCAGTTCTGGTGTATATGGCTGGCACCCTAGCCGCTGAGCTACAGGCCCCAAGCCTGCAGGTGTATTTTTTGAGGCAAGTTTTTGAGGTTTGTTCTGACTTCAGAGGGTGGTTCTTGTCTTTCATTTCTGGTTCTTTCTAATAAACTAGCTGACCTATGGTTTTGCTTGTTGCTCTTATGGAAGTGCCATTCTCTTTCTAATTGCTTCTTTTAGTGACTTCTGTGGGATATTTTAATAAAAATCTATTCTCTCTACCAAATCTCCATTATTTTCAAGAGACCTTGAAATCAGGCTTGTGTTTTTTAGACTCTGCTCCAAATCAGGTTAGTCCCTTTGGTGGGGAGCTTCCAAAT